TGGCTCCTGTCCAAAAGCACAAGCTAGCTCCATGCGGGTCAGGTGGCGATGCACAGCCATGTGGCTGTGCCTATAATGGGCCATGGCACATTGCCGCCTGACCTTCATGGAGAGCGGGTCTAGCCCAGCCCGGCCCGACATGACCCAACCCACTCAGATACCATGCACCTTTGGACAGGTGCCGTGTGTTCTAGGCCTATCCACAGGCATGTTAGCGGGCCATGCCAGGCCAGGTTGGGTCGGTTCCCACTGGGCCCGTTCTCCCCACATAGACCATGGGTCTGGCAGTGCTACTGATGGCACAGCTCAGCTGATGCCACAGGAGGTGGGGGTGCGGGAGTGGGGCAGCCCCTCCACAAACCCCACATCCCCACTGCACACCACCCCCACCACTCCCCACACACCCCACACCCACAACCCCCTCCCCCCTCAGAAACCACACAGCCATCCCACCCCCATCCCTGCTTACCTGGGATAGCACCTGGGCCAGGTCCCACCACAGCCTTGCCCTGCTTCTGTTTGCCTTGCATGCAAAGGGTGCGTGCTGGGGAAACAGAAGCACCATAGAGTGGCTGGATACCAGAGTGTCTCTGGAGGACCCGCCTGCCCTGCTTTTCTTCCTTGGGTTTTTTTTTGATACCTGGATTTCCAGGTATCAAATTTAGAGTCAGTGCTGCAAATATGCACTGCGGGGAAGGTTTTTTTTGTTCCCAGGATGCCTACTGTGGCATCTCAAACTGCTTTGAGATGCCGCGAGAGGAACGTGCAGGCTCGTCTGGGCTCAACCTTAGAGTCTGGGGAGAAAGTGGCCATGAGTTTGCCACCATCAGTATGTCAGGGCCCCACTACACGCTCAAAATTGAAGCAGGATAGAAACCAGCTATAGAGTTGTTACACATTTTCAATCCCTAACTTTGTAGCTGGTTGGCTCTTTTTTATAGCTGGATAGTTATTTTTATGGTGTGATTAATTACTTCACACATGTGGCTGGTTTAAATTTATTGTGCAATTAACCAGTTAGTTGTGCAATTACTTTGTACTTCAGGCTGGTCTTACTTTGCACATGTGGCCAGTCTGAATTTATTGTGTGATTAACCAATTAATTGCGTAATATATGTAACATAGTAGGGGCCTTAGGAAGATGTGGACTGCTGCAGTGGGCCAAAGGAAACTGGACCAAGAAACAGAAGCAGGGGAATCAGAGTGGTTGAAAGAATTTTTTTAAATCCTCACAGCATGACTTATTTAACTATGCTCCCCTTCTAAGGACACAGGGGATAAAAGAAGTTGCTGTGGCAGTCAGCCAGCTCAGAGCCAAGAAAGGGAGAGGGGCAAGGGAGTTTACAGGAAGACACGGTCTCTCCAAGGACAAAGGACTTCAGAATTCACAAGTGAAGTGTGGTTGCCATTTTGAGCATGCAAAGTGGGAGGGCAGAGCTCAGAAATGCTACCAGCTCCCATTTATCCAATGAGGCAGCATTATCAGGCACCCAGGGGAAAAAGACTACATTACAAGAATATCATACTGCTGAAGGCTGCTTGTTTATTTTAAAATTTATTGGATTATGTCACAAGAAAGAAACTTACCTCTCTGGGACTGTCAGGCTGGAATCTACACCAGCATCCTCTTGGTCTGACTTGGGCTCTCCCACTACAAAGAGATCCTGTCCTACAGGCAAAATCACTTCCTCAGAGTGATAGTCAAAGTCATCACTGTCCCTATGCTGTCTGCAATAAAACACTGCTTTATGGTGGCATCCTGTTCAGCTCATCATAATATGGATAGGTGGAAAAAGTACTGCCCAAGGTCCAGTTTTTGTCACTGCTTTTTGCACAAGCTGATTTTTGCTCCTTGCTGTGATCTGGCTCTCCTCAGTCAGGCCATCTCTTTAACAAGTTTTGCATGCATTGTTGTTTCAATGGGTAGTCTTTCCAGAAAGGAAGGAGATCCAATATCTTTTCATAGCTCAAGTTGGGTGCATGGTACAGTACTACACTACAATAATACCAGCTATAGGGAGTGGATGCCCACTCCAAAAGTGTGCAGACACAAGTGCCCCAATGCACCTGCATGGCAGCATTTCAATAGGTGTCAGTCTGCCAACATGACCCAGAGCTGTAGAAGATACATATATGAGCAAACTATTCATAGCATGACAAGCAGCAGCAATGGGTGTTAACTAAAGGAAAATCAAGCTAGAATGCAATAGAAATGTGCACCAGAGACATTACTCCATGCTAACTTACTACACTTTAAAACAGGCACAGAATCCCACCACTTTATATGCCCAAAGAAATGCACCTCATGGGTGCAGAACATTTCAGTGCATATAATGTGCTTCAAGAAAACAACACACTATGTAGACAAGTTCAAGCTGATCAGAGATCTAGAATGAAAAGGATGAATGAGACACAGAGCCCAGCCAGCAGACCCTATCCACAGTAACACCCTTCATCCAAGCAAACTTTATTTCCACAACATGTCAAATGCGAAGCATACCGACACTTCGTGATATCTGCCACTATTCTTATAAGATTCGTGCTTACAATACCATCAGAGAAGCAGCTTAGCCACCATACCTCAATACCTATTTATTTTCAGCTACAAGTGTGTAACCAATGCCCCCATTCTCTTTGTGCCCAGAATTATGCCTTTCTTCACAGCACCATTTCTGTGAGTGCCTAAACTGCCACCATACTCCCATTTCTGCTTATAAGGTCAGAAGTCAGTTCGTCCTCTACAGACACCTGAAACTGTTTGCACTAGTGTAACAATCCATCCAAGTAATCCCAGGGATCTCAAAAAAAGCAAAATTTATGTAGCATAAGAGTAGGAAAGAGACAGAAAAAAACTAATTAAAATAAATCCAGAGATATTGTAACAATAGTACCACTAGATGGACACAAAGCCTGTGCTACAAAGTAAGGAGATTAAACTAAGAGCTAAATTTGCTCACTAGGCTTTTCCTGGCTCGTCAATTTTGAGTTTCATCAAGGAGTAAATGTGTGTTGAGCTATTATCTCCCTATTTTCTTCAATGGTAACCCACTTATCTTTTGATCTGCAAATGAGGAATTTGTCCCTTGCTATACAATAATCAATACAATAGAATACAGACAATGCACTGACCTTTAAAGTCCATTTGCTCAACCATAGTTTTTGCTAAAAAAAATAGGTTGTTCATATCATTTTTCTGTTCAATTTCCAAAAATACTGGATTTGCGTTCAATAAAGATTTTTCCCCACTTCCAAATGCATTTGACAGAATGAAAAGCAACCAACTAGAATTCAAACTGTTTCCCCTTGGTACCTCCTGGCTCAAAATGGTGCATCCCTATGCACATGTAGGTAATAGACTACAGTAGTAAAATGTTCCAATATAATCACAGCAGCAGCAAGTAGTAGGAACATTACCAACAGATTAAGGGAAGCGATTATTCCCCTCTAATCTGCACTGGTGAGGCCACATCTGGAGTACTGTGTTCAGTTTTGGACCCCCACTACAGAAAGGTGGTAGATAAATTGGAGAGAGTCCAGCGGAGGGCAACAAAGATGGTGAGGAGGTTGGGGGACATGACTTCTGAGGAGAGGCTGAAGGAACTGGGTTTATTTAGTCTGGAGAAGAGAAGACTGAGAGGGGATTGAAGAGCAACCTTCAACTGCCTGAAGGCTGGTTACAAAGAGGATGGCGCTAGACTGTTCTTAGTGGTGGCAGATGACAGAATAAGGAGCAATGGGCTCAAGTTGCAGCAAGAGAAGTTTAGATTAGATATTAGGAAAAATTTCCTTACTAAGAGGGTTGTAAAGCACTGGAACAGGTTACCCAGAGAAGTGATAGACTCTCTATCCTTGGAGGTTTTTAAGACCCAGATAGACAAAGCCTTGGCTGGGATGATCTAGTTGAGGCTGGTCCTGCTTTGTGCAGGAGTTAAGACTAGATGACTTCCTGAGATCCCTTCCAACCGTAGTTTTCTATGGTTATATGATTCTAATTTGCAGATGTTCACAAAAAGTTTGGGTTTTTTAATACTTAAAATGAAAAATATTTAAAAGAAATAAGATGAATAAGATGAAAAAAAAAATTTTTTTAATGTGTGGACTTGTACTGTAGAAGGAGTTTTCCATCAAACTAATTATTTGATTTTTTTTTAATTTACTTTCAACTAAGTAGCATAATTTTACCTGATTTTATATGGCTTTGCTTTTTAAATAGCAATGTCTCCTTAAACCACTCGTAGGACTGTGCAAAAATACGATGAAAGTCTTCCGCCCTTTTTTATCCTTATTTGATACAAATATAGACAGACAAGATGTTTGGAACTTTTATGTTTCCAACATGAGAGCCGTCAGTCATTGACAATCTCTCAGTTTAGTCTGCTGGCAGCAAACATCTAACCAGGTAAGTACCAAAGGAACTGACTGGGAAGGCAACACAGAAATTCCTTTAGGATGTCTTGGAACATGATTTTTTTTTTGCTCAAGTAAAATTTGCTTAAAGAAATGAAAGTACTTACTTGATCCCTCAAAAAGAAATGTAACAGAGTTAGAACACTGAATACCCAAGCATAATCATGAGACATGTGGGAAGTAACAGTCCAACTCATTTCAGACACATTAGTTCATAGTGAGCTGATGAAGCTAACAGCCCCTGCACTCACAGGATGATCAGGTAATCTGCTGATGGGGACAGGATTTTTTAATTCAATATTTTGTAGATTTCTGAATATTTTAATATTGTTAAAATATCATTTACAGCCACTAAGTATAGCAAATGATGAAAGACTATGAGAATCCCACTCGCTTTTTACAAGCCAAGTGCACTGTGTAAATTACAAAACATAAAATGAATCACCAAGAGGCTGCAAAGAACAGCCACTTTTCTTTTAAAACTATAACATCACAAGTGAGGCCAAACTATTTTAAGTTGATGAGAATTATACCCTATTTTAAGAAATTCAGTCTTGCAGAGATAGTTTCAGATAAATTAAATCAAAGCCTACCGCAGAAAGGGATCCATCTTCAGTTGAGGATTTTTGGTAGAGGGTAGAAATTTTTTCAGCACGCATTAGATATTCTGCAGTCTTCCTCTTCACTGCTTCTCGACGTGTTGGGCTTGATTCACCTAGATTGAAAAACAGAAGGCTGTTACTCTTTAATAAAGGTGTACAAATATTTGGGTTGCCTGCATCTTGGGTACTCTGGATTCAGACAAGCCAACAATACGCTTCCTTTTAGGTTTTATGTTCTAAGATTTAGGCAAAGATTCCATTTAAGCCTTGTTACGTACTCAAATACTTAAAATCTCTTACCTTAGTTTCCCAATCTGGAATTAATTCCTATGGAAACCAAAGCAAGAAATGAAACGAACAACTGAAATGGACTTTGTACCCATGAAAATGAAAGTAGCAAAGATTTGGTATAAACGACTGCTTATTAAAAGGTGGTGGCAAAAAACTTACTTATTTCTATCAACCTAACCTACACATCAAAGAAAGAAGGGTCAAAAATGCTCCAATTAGCCAACATACAGCAACAAGTGAAAGGGAGAGCTCTCACTTGCAGCTTTTTGCTGCTGTTTACAACCTTCCTTTTCAACTTAGAAACAAGTATTTCAAAATAGAAGTAGTACATGAAAAAACAAGTATTTCAAAATACTTTACCTGGTTGAAAGCACTTGGTCTTAAGATTTATCTTTCCCAACGCGGTCAATGCGTGCATGTATCTCATGTATGTTACTGTCTACACACACATCCTAAAATAAGGCCAGGATAACTCAAAGACTTGATATGAGATTTCGCTTTTCTGATCAGACATTCGCATGCTAGGGTGATGAGCAGCAGATAATTAGCAGGCCCTACATCACTAATCTGAATTCAGACCTATTTGATTGTGACCAAGAGTCATTTGCTAGCCTACATGAAGACAAAATGATTGTCAGTCTGGTTCCTACAGTATAGAGTTCAGAACACTGTGCTAAATAAAAATATAGCCATCACCACAAATGACAGTCTCAGAAGTCAGAACAAGGGCCAAGATTTCATAATGAATTGCCCTTTCAGCCCAGGAGATGGACTTCTCAGATCAGGGTTGAATCATATAATTGAGGCAATAAAAGGCTTGCACAGCTACTGTTTATGCTGTGTGTCGGTCTTGTGACTAAACAGAGGACCACAGGCCACAGTGCTGGCAATCCAGCACTGTTCATAAGCCTGAGCTCTGACAAGTAATCAAATCTTCACGCCTAATAAATGCTAGTAAAATAAAGGGTTGTTTTGGGGTTGGTTTGGGGGGGTCTTTTGGCTGTCTTCTAAGACTGTTTACAGGCTGGAAAACCAGAAAAGAAAAATGGTAAAAAAGGAAAAAGCTAAAAATTTGGTAGGCGGACCAAATACTAATTGTGTGTGTGTGTGTGTGTGTGTGTGTGTGTGTGTGTGTGTGTGTGTGTGTGTGTATATATATTCATTCTTATTCCATAACAGTTATAGAATAATGATAATTATAAGTCTACATGGTCTGTACCTCTTTAGGAAGTCCATGGAAGGAGACTTGCCTCACAAATAGTGAATAATTGCCCATACCAAAAGCAATCCTCTGGCTCATTCACCATTCTCCTTATGGGGATACACAGTGACTGAGACATGGGCTCAAAGGCACCTTTTTACTGTGCCACCAAGTTAACCACAAAAAGAACAGCCTTCACTAGGTGTATACCTTAGCCATGAGAAAACTGTAAAATGAACTGTTGTGAATCTTTTCCAATGGATCATACCCCTAACCCAAAGCAATTTTTCCACCAGAACTCCTGGAACACCGAGTTCAATAAGGCCCATTTCACACATTAAGTTTCTATTTTCTAGCTCTAGTCACTTTGGCCTTCTGAAGTATTTCCCTCTCTTCCAAATAATGGCTCACAGACATCCTGAGAGGCAACAGTGGCTAGAAAGGGGAGTTAAGTCTATGCTATTAGAGGTTCTATCACAAGCGATAATAGAAGTGACTTGTGGGGGGGCAGCAGGAAACATGTGCTCATCTCCTGATGAAGGGATGCTCAGTGATGAGATTCTAATTCACAGTCTCCTTGCTCCTGGATGAAGCCACCCTCCATCAGGCTAAGGACTGCCATCTACTCACCTCGACTCCAAGCAATACAGCAGGACCACAAGCCTGGTGCAACTGCTATGTCAAAAATACAGTAAGGATTTATAAGCTATTAAATGGGGAGAGGAAAAAATTAATCAGGCAATCAATGACAAGATGGAGCCCCCCAAAAGGAGTCAATGATAAGATGATGAAAATTCTAGTCCTTTCCCAAGCACCAGAAGATAAAGAGTGGACCTGTAAAAGAACACAGCGTGCCTAGCTATTACCAGCAGCTTCAACATCTTTCATATCAGCATCTGCTTCAGAGGAGCCTTGTAAAAAAATTTCCAGACCACACTGTCAAAATAGTCTGTCCCACACAAAAGAAAAGTAAAATGTGCACTGTTGGAAACTCGGGCTTTGGAAAAATCTAATGCAAACTGTAATTACAGATAGTCTGTAAAAAAAATGCAAAACAGAGTACTTTCTAATTTCTTAGAATTTAGTTCCAACCCTGTCACTTCTGCCATACATTTAGTCTTTCTAAGGCAGAAAACTTGGCTTTGTACAAATTTTAGAGTTGCTTCATTGGAGTCCCTAAAATTTCCAGCAAGACCTGGTCACTCAATGGAAGACAAATGAGCTGTCCTTCCTATTTAATTTCTCTTCAGCCAACATTTTCTTGAAACTAACTAGTATGGCATCTAGCAATTCAGCAAAGCACTGAGTTTAGAGCTATCATTAAAAAGGTCAAATTATTGCTAACTGTCAGTTAAATTTTTTAATGTGGAAAGTTATCACTCTTTAGCTATTTTTCCTATGCTTCAGTAATTTTTGAGTAATTAGACATGAGACAGGATGTCCCTTTTCAGGTCTCTGTTTTCTCCATTTTCATTAGAGATTAACTTCACTAAGAGAGAGCACACGAGAGAGAGAGAGGGTGGCTATCAGACACTAAATCTTAAAGAGTTAGGAGAGGAGAGGAAAGATGTTCACTCATTAAGATCTTTAGCCACAATAGAAAGGACTTTATTTGCAAAAATTTCTATTAAAAAAGTTTCACATCTCACTACGGACTGACAGACCAGAACTCATTCCTTCCTTGCCAGTTCCAGCTCTAAGCACTTTAACACAAGGTATACTTAGAAGAATAACTTAGTTTGTGGAAGTAAAGTTTTGTTTCCATTGTATTAGTTTGGCCAAGAGCAATTTAAAAAAAAATACTAGCTACATCCCATCTCAATTTATCTTTTAAATACTAACCTTTCTAGGCCTTAGACATGTATACTGCAATGGGGAAAAAAAAGTCAGCCACCAAATACTAAAGATACTTTACTAAAAAAAAAAAAGCCATTTAAAAACCCTGAGCAAATCACTTAGAGGATGGCAAGTGATGATAAATTATCCGATAAGCCAAATTCAGTCTTCTGCATTTACCCGTCTCTCATTTCTTACATAATTTAACAGGATACTAGTAAAAACCCTTATATTTCAGATTTTTAAACAGCAATACATATTCATAAATGCCAAAGAAATGCAAGGAGGTTATATCTGTATGTTAGAGGAATAAAGGGATATTCAAGTCATCCAAAATACACATTTAAAAAAAAAAAGTGGACAAATTTTTTTTTAATAAAAGTGGGGGGGTGAGAGGTTGTTTTGTTTTTTAATGGTTCCAGCATATTCCCAGATACAATCATTTGGAGAGCTTACAATGTCTTCATCCCATATATATCTTTTTCTATGATTATTTACACCTTGGAAAGAATACTTTTTAAACCATAAAAACAGGAAATATTTAGCTGTGTCAAAGCCTTTGATGAATCTTCACAACTGCGCATACAAGCTTATCCTGCTTAAAACTAATATTGATTTTTCATTTACGTTCTTTCCTACATACTAGAAGATTTGTGTTTCGTCTGATCAGGATCAAAGCTTTTTTCCCCCTGATCATGGAGATTAAATCAGCAATGTCATTTTAAATGTTTAAAAACGACACTGCTAAAGCAAGATATAAGAGTGTGGTAATGCTGATGACAGAGACCTTCAAATAAAAACCCTTCGAGATTCCTCATCTCAATCTCTCTCTCTCTCCCCCTGCCTTTGCTATAGAGCAGCTGTGCCTCACGCAGATTCACATGAATGAAAATATTAAGGCGAGAAACCACCCACTTAGTTTATTTTCCATATGACTTTCCTGTAATTATTTTGTAAACTGTTCATACAACAATATATAAAAACATCTGCAAAAACAGGTAATTAATGTGTCAAGCCAAACTAATGCATTTTTTATGGTGTCCATGCTTCGTCAACTGTAATTATAACTCTTTTTAAGCAAATGATGATGTGTTTGTTGCAATGTGCAAGTGGTTATTTTAGATGCTCTGTTTACTGTTACTGCAAACAGAATATAAAAACTCTACAGCTACTTTGCCACACATACAAGCCTCCATCTACACAAGCAGGCATAGGCTGCTCTCTCATTTTCCAAAAGCTTGGTATATTTCAAAGAAATAAAACATTTCTTAAAATGAAAATGGATGTTGGAAAGGCTGACCAGACCACCCTCAACCAATTAATCGTAGCCAGTAAATATAGGATATTAAACCGATATCTAGCAACTGTTCTTTTAATTTTATATTTAAGGACTACTCAGCTTTGACATATTCACTAAAATTAAAATTCCCAACAACATTCCAATTTTCTTGAGGTTCCAACATGCAGTAAAAGCATGAATCTCAAAGTTAGCATGCCACCTGGGACATCTTTACTTCACCCTATTCCTTTTCCTGTGGTCAAGTGATGAAAATATACATAAGAGCAAGAAGCATTTCTACAGAATAGATACAAAAAAGGTAGCAGATGGAATACAAGGAATACTATCAACTGTTCCAGTCAAGTATCTCTTTCTCATTCAGGATGTCTCTCTTTCAGACAGCAACCAGCAGGATGGTGATATGCTTGTTACCTAAGCCAGAGTTTGTTACTTGTTCAGTCATTAGAGCAGATTTCCATGAAAGGGAGTTCCCCATGTTGAGCTGT